ATGGCTAGCTGGTCATTCAACAAAGGTGGATCGTCTACCTTTGCAGCTTGTCGGTTGGCAGCCGCAATCGAGGACATTGTTGGAGCTGACTTCACATTAGAAGGAAATCACCCCTCGCATGGGGTGATATCAACATGAATGACTCAAGTGCAATCTAGATTTGCGTCTTCAATTATCTATCCATTGTTGGTTATACCAAATTAGTTAAGGATGTGTTTAAATTATGGATTTGAATAGGAATTTAGAAAGAAAGAAAGAAAGAAAAAAAAAGGCGAGGAAAAGATGAATGAAATATAATTTTTTTTTTTTCATTCACTTTCCCCTCTTTTTTTTTTTCTCTCTCTTTTAAAATTTTTATTCGAATCCATAAACATAGAGTAAGTGGTCTTGGTTTAAAAAATTAGATGGATGGAAGTGGAGTGATTTTATTTTTAGTAGCTTGACTTCACTCACTCGCGCTGGGTGTGATGGGTGGAGAAACATGGCCTGTGGAATGCAATAGGTCATTTAATATTCATGATGCATGTTATATGTTAGATATAATTATGAGCGGTGGTATTATATGTACTAATTAGTATATTAACTAGTGTATCAATGTTAGTTATGATATTATTATTGACTTATCTTATTATACAAATTACAAATACCAAAAACTTCTTAAATTATGTCATATCATCAATTAATCTATTAATTGGTATAATAATTGGTACATATACTAAAAACCTCAACGAATCATTTGACTATTATAGATTATTGTGGTAGTGAGACAGTAATTCTCATATATAACTTGGTTACATTTTATTATGGTGTTTGGTTATTTTCAAAGTAATATTGATTATGATTTATTGTGGTGGGTTTATTCATATTACTTTTTTCATATCTAACAATTGAAAGTATGGATATATTTTATATGTGTTTCCTTAGGTTGCTTCTTTAGGTTGCGTAAAAGGCAAGGAAATTGGAAAATGTGGAGATTGTGAATGACATATAAGTTAAATTTTTTTATTATTATTATTATTTTTTTTTTTATAGATAGCATGAATCCATAATCTAAATATAGCATTAAAGATGAATATTGTAAAATTTATAATGGAATTTGTTTGGTTTGATTTTTAAAAAACAAATTTTCGATGGGTTTTCGTTTATCTTTAGTAATTCCTTTTTTATGTATATTTTATTTTAATACTTGTAATAAAAATAAAAATGGCTAAAATATTTATTAAAAAAATTCATTAAAAAGAAACGGAAATTTAACTAAAAATATATTTTTTTTAAATCAAACTAAAGAGACTCTATTTTTATAAGTCTATTTTTTAGACACAGTTCTAAATTCAGTGATGTATCAAAAAGATAATTGATTGATAATTAAATTAATCAATTATCATTTTGATACATTACAGAATTTAATATGTAAATTTAATTTTTAAACCATAATAGCAATACTCTTTTCAGGAGCTTTCCCATTGCCATTGATTGGGTAAGAAGTCAGTCTTTCCACCATTCGAAAAGAGCTCGGCGTGTGATTTGAGATACAAGTCAATTGTTAGGCCGATTAAATTATATGTTATCATTACATACATTAAATTGAAAATAGATTTTATTGTACCAATTATATATAATTGTTTTTGGATAAACACTCACTTTGATATTTGAACAAAATATAATATATCTTTTCTCTTAATAAGGCTAAATAAATCTAAATTAATACAGATAATATGAAAATTTAAAGATATGCCAAGTAAAATATATATTATTATGTAAAAAGATGATAATATCATTTTTTTCATCTATATAACTATCAAATTATTGATAAAAATGAGACCAAGTGGTATTCAAATTAAAAACTTAAAGAAAGTCAATGTAATTATGTTAAAATTGTGAATTTTTTTGTATTTTTTTTTTTTCAAACCTTAAAAGTGTTTAGTGTAATTTATTTTAATTTTTTATATAAAAGTTTAGTGAGTCACAATTTTAAGGTTTTTATTTTTTGATATTTCAGTGACACTTTAGGGAGTGCTTGGCATGAATTTAATATTTCAGTGACACTCGTTAAAATAAACTTTGTTGCTAAACTTACTTGCAAAATTTTAGGTTCATTTGGGATGTGGGTTGGCTTTTTTAGCTATTTTAGTCTGGAGCTAAAAAGTCTTGTTTAGAATAAGCTTTTTTTACTTTTGTGAGAGAAAAAATAACATAGTTATGATTTAAATGTGACATTTTGTCCTATTAGGCTAAAAACTTATTTTGTTTTTTCTGTGACTATTTTAACCAAAAAAATTCATTTTAGCTTATGTCAAACAAATGCTCTGTAACTTGCTGGCACCAATTGTTTATAGAAGGGTAGCAAATATCGATGGAATCGATAAATCGGTTTGGATTTATTCAAATTGTAGGATTTTGTTGTTTTTCTTTTTTTTGTTTTTTTTCAGAAGGTGATTTGGTTATGATTTTAAAAAATCAAGAACCATTGATTAAAGAATATATTCAACCGGACCAATTTGTTACCTATTTTTTTAGGCCTTGAAAGAAGAGATCAAATCTCAGAGTTTTCAATTAGCCTCACATGCATTAGTTAATCGATTTGTTCCAAATTGATTGAGATTGTCACACTAATAAATTTATATAATCAATATTTCTATACAAACACATACACATACGTAAATAAGTAATTTTATCCTACATATATATAACCAATATTTGTGTAGCAATAATAATATTTAAGTTGTTGCTATGATCTATTGTAATTAATTGATCCTTTGTTGATTAATAATTATAATTTTTTAAATAAATAAAATAGCCTAAAATCATAGAAACAAATTGATTATTATTATTTGGTTTTGGTTTGGTTATGTAGCTTCAACAATTTGGTTCTGGTTCTGATTATTTTTATACCATTTGGTAATCTACCGTGAAATAACACCAATTTGGTCCCGAAACCCCTAATTATCTACTAGTTTTGTACCCACTCAAGACCCCTACATTTTAAAAAGGGTTATTTCACTTAAAATTCACATATTTTTACTAAAATTTTATTTTGACCCCACTTTCAGTTGTAATAGTCATGGTAAGGATAGTAATACCATTTTGTAGTAAAAAAAAAAATATAATTTTTTATAGTGTTTTTATGATGTACACCTTTTAATGTATACATCCTTTTAGTAGAGCAGCCTTTCTTTGAACTTATGTGTGCCTAACTTGTACCATCATTCTTCAATTTGCAACTACATCATTTAAAAAAAGAAATCTAATAATTATAATTACACAATTTAATTATATTTGTGTTAAGAAATATAAAAGGCTTATACTCGTCTTCTTTTTTTTTTTTGTTCTTTTTTTTTTCAAGACAAATTTAATGAAATCATGTGTCTATGATTATTGAAGCAATACATTTTGTCCTATTAGGCTAAAAAACTTATTTTGTCTTTTTGTGACTATTTTAATCCAAAAAATTTCATTTTAGCTTATGTCAAACGAATGCTCTGTAACTTGCTGGCACCAATTGTTTATAGAAGGGTAGAAAATATCGATGGAATCGATAAATCGGTTTGGATTTATTCGAATTGTACGATTTTGTTGTTTTTCTTTTTCTTTTTTTTTTCAGAAGGTGATTTGGTTATAATTTTAAATAATCAAGAACCATTGATTAAAGAATATATTCAACCGAACCAATTTGTTACCTATTTTTTTAGGTCTTGAAAGAAGAGATCAAATCTCGGAGTTTTCAATTAGCCTCACATGCATTAGTTAATCGATTTGTTCCAAATTTATTGAGATTGTCACACTAATAAATTTATATAATCAATATTTCTATACAAACACATACACATGTGTAAACAAGTAATTTTATCCTACATATATATAACCAATATTTGTGTAGCAATAATAATATTTAAGTTGTTTCTATGATCTATTGTAATTAATTGATCCTTTGTTGATTAATAATTATAATTTTTTAAAATAAATAAAATAGCTTAAAATCATAGAAACAAATTGATTATTATTATTTGGTTTTGGTTTGGTTATGTAGCTTCAACAATTTGGTTCTGGTTCTGATTATTTTTATACCATTTGGTAATCTACCGTGAAATAACACCAATTTGGTCCCGAAACCCCTAATTGTCTACTAGTTTTGTACCCACTCAAGGTCCCTACATTTTAAAAAGGGTTATTTCACTTGAAATTCACATATTTTTACTAAAATTTTATTTTGACCCCACTTTCAGTTGTAATAGTCATGGTAAGGATAGTAATACCATTTTGTAGTAAAAAATATATATATAATTCTTTATAGTGTTTTTATGATGTACACCTTTTAATGTATACATCCCTTTAGTATATAGATAGCAGCCTTTCTTTGAACTTATTTGTGCCTAACTTGTACCATCATTCTTCAATTTGCAACTACATCATTTAAAAAAAGAAATCTAATAATTATAATTACACAATTTAATTATATTTGTGTTAAGAAATATAAAAGGCTTATACTCGTCATCTTTTTCTTTTTCTTTTTTCAAGAAAAATTTAATGAAATCATGTGTTTACGATTATTGAATCAATATGAGTTTTTATGAATAATCTGCAATAAAGGCCTAAAGATGAATGGATTGGATCATCAGAGTGAGACCCGTGATGAGCCCACAAACTAGAATTGCACGATCCACTTTAGTTTAGGGGACTGGAGAAAAACTTAATTATTATTATTATTATCATTATATTGATTTATATGACAAGAAATTAAATTGATTTGACTAGAAGTCTAAATTTTAAAAATTAAATTGATAAAATTAAATTATTACAATAATATGAAAAAGATATTTTAAAGAGAATAAAAGTGTATTATATGTATAAAACCAATGAGCATCTGGATCACACCATTGTATCCATCTACTAATCTACAAACACAGCTTTTTCTTAGTGGTGGAGTCCATTCTAATGATGCCAAACCTTCCTCAAATATATCCCACAATTTGTCACTTTTCTTGGACAATTATGGGGTTGTCTAGCCAACAAATCTCATCATATGAAGGTCAGGTTGGAAGGAACATCAAATGTGAGAGTTCCATGAGAGTGCAAGGAACAGATCAATCTCTGAAAATCTGAAGGCAAAACCATAACCAAACCAGAGAAATTTCTCACAAGGCGAACAATATGTTGGACAATCTACCACAAGAAGTGGTGTTTGATATCTTGGCAAGACTACCTGTCAAGTCCCTGTTACAAATGAGGTGTGTATGCAAATCATGGAACTCTCTAATCAATAGTCCCAATTTCATCACATCACACACAAACCAAACTCTTGCAAACAACAACAATGAATTAGTACTACTTAGGCACCACACTGATGGCAAAGATCAGTTCACAGTGCATTGCAATAACAACACATTCAATGAGTGTACAACATTTGATTGCCCATTTACAAACTGGACAAAGTATTATTTGAGGGTAGTGGGTTCGTGTGATGGGTTAGTGTGCTTGTCGTCTCATGATCAAACTACGATTTTATGGAACCCATCAATCAAGAGATGTTTGAATCTTCCAACGCCTCGCATTACATATAAGTCTCACGGTTCTTATACGTTTATCCTTGGATTCGGATTTGATCCCTTGACTAACGATTTTAAGGTGGTGAGACTTGTATATTTTCACAAGAACTTTGGTTACAGGCTTTCAGCAGAGGTCGATGTTTATATGCTTAGCATAGGGACTTGGAGAACTGTTAATACTATTGCCCCATCATATAATTTGATGGAATGCGTTTCCCATGCTTTTGTGAACCGGGCTTGCCACTGGATTGGATTTGAGGCAATGACGAAGGAAATAAGGTGCTATTTGATACTGTCATTCAACATCAGTACTGAAGTGTTTCATGAGATAAAGCTCCCGGATTGTGTTGCTAATGTGTTCAGACTAATTGCATCGGTTGCAGTGTATGAGGAATCGATTTGTTTGTTCCATTATGATAGGGATTGGGGGTATCCAAGTAAGAATTGTGATATATGGGTGATGAAAGAGTATGGTGTGGTTGAGTCTTGGACTAAATTGTTCACAATTGATTTTGGTATAAGCAAAGCTGTAGGTTTTAGGAAGAATGGTGAATTTTTGGCAGAAGATAGTGAGGGGAAGTTGGTTACATATGATTTCAAGACGGGGCAAATAGTGTATCTTGGAATCCATGGGTTGAAACAATCGTTTCATTTGGAGAATTACATGGAAAGCCTAGTTTTACTTATAGAAGGAAATGAAGTTTTAGAGGAGAAGGCAAAATCTCTCCCTGTGACTGTAGAGCCGTCTAGGAAATATAAATTTCCCTTTCGAGTACCCTTCATTGCACCAAATGCTCCTCGAACAACTTTGAGGACTCCACCTTCCATAGTTACTCTGTAACCTTTGGAGTCTAAAACTCCCACTGAGATGAGGTTCTTTGTCAAAGCTGGTACATACCGAACATCTTCAAGAATTCTGATTGTTCCATCATGTATCTTCAGTCGAATTGTTCCAATTCCCTTTGTCTGGCAAGCTTGGTCGTTGCCCATCAGCACAACTCCTCCATCGAACTCTCGTAAGCTCGAGAACCACTGCTTGTTCGGACACATGTGGTATGAACACCTGGAATTTATAATCCATTCATCAGACTGGCCATATGATGAAACTGTGAAGGCTGATCCTTCACCATTATCTCCATCTCGTGTAACGTTCACCTTTTCTTCTTTCTTGTCTTTATTGGGACAATCTTTTGCCCAATGCCCCTTCTGGCGACAAGAAGCACACTCGTCTTTTGCAAGACGTCTTCTATTCGACAAGAAGCACACTAGAAGTCTAAATTTTAAAAATTAAATTGATAAAATTAAATTATTACAATAATATGAAAAAGATATTTTAAAGAGAATAAAAGTGTATTATATGTATAAAACCAATGAGCATCTGGATCACACCATTGTATCCATCTACTAATCTACAAACACAGCTTTTTCTTAGTGGTGGAGTCCATTCTAATGATGCCAAACCTTCCTCAAATATATCCCACAATTTGTCACTTTTGCTTGGAAAATTATTGGGTTGTCTAGCCAACAAATCTCATCATATGAAGGTCAGGTTTGAAGGAACATCAAATGTGAGAGTTCCATGAGAGTGCAAGGAACAGATCAATCTCTGAAAATCTGAAGGCAAAACCATAACCAAACCAGAGAAATTTCTCACAAGGCGAACAATATGTCGGACAATCTACCACAAGAAGTGGTGTTTGATATCTTGGCAAGACTACTTGTCAAGTCCCTGTTACATATGAGGTGTGTATGCAAATCATGGAACTCTCTAATCAATAGTCCCAATTTCATCACATCACACACAAACCAAACTCTTGCAAACAACAACAATGAATTAGTACTACTTAGGCACCACACTGATGGCAAAGATCAGTTCACATTGCATTTCAATAACAACACATTCAATGAGTGTACAACATTTGATTGCCCATTTACAAACTGGACAAAGTATTATTTGAGGGTAGTGGGTTCGTGTGACGGGTTAGTGTGCTTGTCATCTCATGATCAAACTACGATTTTATGGAACCCATCAATCAAGAGATGTTTGAATCTTCCAACGCCTCGCATTACATATAAGTCTCACGGTTCTTATACGTTTATCCTTGGATTCGGATTTGATCCCTTGACTAACGATTTTAAGGTGGTGAGACTTGTATATTTTCACAAGAACTTTGGTTACAGGCTTCCAGCAGAGGTCGATGTTTATATGCTTAGCATAGGGACTTGGAGAACTGTTACTATTGCCCCATCATATAATTTGATGGAATGCGTTTCCCATGCTTTTGTGAACCGGGCTTGCCACTGGATTGGGTTTGAGGCAATGACGAAGGAAATAAGGCGCTATTTGATACTGTCATTCAACATCAGTACTAAAGTGTTTCATGAGATAAAGCTCCCGGATTGTGTTGCTAATGTGTTCAGACTAATTGCATCGGTTGCAGTGTATGAGGAATCGATTTGTTTGTTCCATTATGATAGGGATTGGGGGTATCCAAGTAAGAATTGTGATATATGGGTGATGAAAGAGTATGGTGTGGTTGAGTCTTGGACTAAATTGTTCACAATTGATTTTGCTATAAGCAAAGCTGTAGGTTTTAGGAAGAATGGTGAATTTTTGGCAGAAGATAGAGAGGGGAAGTTGGTTACATATGATTTCAAGACCGGGCAAATAGTGTATCTTGGAATCCATGGGTTGAAACAATCGTTTCATTTGGAGAATTACATAGAAAGCCTAGTTTTACTTATAGAAGGAAATGAAGTTTTAGAGGAGAAGGCAAAATCTAGTAATGCCTTTGACAAAGGTATAGAAGAAACGTCGGAATTGGGGAGCAGCATTAATCAACAAGGAAGTGGGTCACGCGGTAGGTTCTTTTGTTGTGCAATGCCTGGCTCTCTCACAAAAACTGGACTTCCTCAACCCTCTTACAGAAACTCGATTGATCGTCCACTTCAATTGGAAAGAAGCCTATCCCAATCAACAATGCTAGAGGAAGCCGAGAATAATAGGAAGTTGTAAAGGTAATTTACGTCCATTTTCAGTTGGTGGTGGTCTCTCTTCCATTCTCAATGTAGAGATATAATTGTCTTTCGACTTGTGATATGCAGATATGTTTGGCTTTTGATATTCATGATCAATGTAAAACTTCAGATATGAGAAGATTTGTTTGCTAGATTGTGGTTATCGGATCTTTATTTAATGTGCTATGGCTCGATTTCAAAGTTTATAATCTGAAATAAGGTGTGGTTCCAATTTTAAACATTGTAAATTTCAATTTAGTTTCATACTTGCCACTGGAAGGCAGCCACCTTAGACTACTAATTTGGTGTCACTTTAACCTCATTGTTGTATTTAAACACAGGTACGTGAATGCTTTATTGATCTGCCCTGTTTTTCATTTAGGCAGGCTATCTTCAATTGCTAGTGCTAGACACTAAGTTGTTACAAAGAGTAAAAGGAATAATAATTAATAAGGGGTAAAAACCACAAATGAAAAATGTAAGTGAAATATGAATAAAATATGCGTATATTTTACCTAGTTTCACACACCTTTTCATTTTCCTTTTCCAAATCCCTCCTCAAATCCTCCAACCAAACACAACATAAACATTTTCATAATATGACACCTCTTGCTTTTGGAAGTTGTATTATACACATCTTATTTTATTAAATCACATACAACCTTTTGATATTCAACAAAAATATACTGACACTTCTTAACATTTGGCGAAAAGATCACAAACACCGCCATTAATTTAAATAAATACATCCGATAATATTAATTCACTTATTTTTAAATATTTTTATATGTACATATATATATATATATATATATTACACTATTAGTTCCTGTAATTTAAATGAAATGTCACTTTAGTCCTTGTAATTTCTCAGTTTGAACCTTACATTTTTAATTTCGTTGCAATGTGATATCTCCATCACTTTATCATCAGAATTTTGAACGGAGAAAAACCATGTACAAAACTAGAGGGACTAAAATAGAATTCAAAATTACACCAATAGTCCCCTTCATTTTTTTTTTTTTTTTGAATTTCACTTTAATCCTTCTAGTTTTACGCATGATCTTTTCCGTTCAAAATATTAACGACACATGATGGAGGGATCATACTGCAACAAGTTGACAATGTAAGATTTAAATTGTTCAAATTGAAATTAGGAGAATCAAAATGAAATTTCACTCAAACTAAAAAACCTATGGTGTGCTTTATCCAAAATTATTTTTAAAATAAGCTGTGATGTTTGCAATATAAAAAAATAAATTTTAACCCTATCATACCATGAAAGTATAATTTAAATAAATTTACATGATCATTTAAATTAATTAATTTATGTGTATGTTATATATTCGGACATATAAATTATTAAAAAACAAAGAAAAAGATTTGTGATATATGTTGCACAATAATTTTAACTTTATCATGTTATAAAAATTTAATTTAAAAAGGATCAAATTATAAATACATTATCTGAGTTTTACTTAAATACTAATTGTGTTTTGTGGTTTTACAAATTACATCCCAAATAACTCCTACCATTAATCAATCATTAAGTTAGTTTCAAATAACTCCTACCAGCAATCAATCATTAAGTTAGTTTCTAATTATGCCAGTAATATATTTCAATTAATAATTTGGATAATTGCATTGTTGTATAGGATAGTTAGGAATTTCTTTTTGTTTTCCAATTCTGTTAAATGGCAAAGTCTAACAGGGAGACATTTGTAATTTTGATAAGCACAGTGAACAATATGTTTTTTTTTTTTTTTTTGTTACAGGAAAATCCTCCCTACCCTCCCGCAGGTCCAAGGCAGAGCCCCTTACAGAGATCACCAAGGTGTCCTGTTAGCCGTTCCGAGTGAGGAGACTATAACCTGGGAACTTGTCCCGACCTCCCAAGACAAACTCCGCTTAAGTCAGGACTCGCACAGCGGGGGAGCATTGGACCCACACCAAGTGCTGACTAAACAACTTGAGGGAGATTACCAAGGTATCCTGTTAGCCGTTCCGAGCGAGGAGACTATAACTTGGGAACTTGCCCCGACCTCCCAAGACAAACTCTGCTTAAGTCAGGACTCGCACAGCGGGGGAGCATTGAACTCACACCAAGTGCTGACTAGACAACTTGAGGGAGATCACCAAGGTGTCCTGTTAGCCGTTCCGAGCGAGGAGACTATAACCTGAGAACTTGCCCCGACCTCTCAAGACAAACTCCACTTAAGTCAGGACTCGCACAGCGGGGGAGCATTGGACCCACACCAAGTGCTGACTAGACAACTTGAGGTCCAACCTCCTAACCAACAGTGCTTCGCCTAGGAGATTGGCCCAAGGGGGGAATTGAACTTGTGACCTTGGGGCTTAAACCCCAAGGCCTTACCACAATGCTACAACCCCTTGGGTTAACAATATGTATTTTAAACAGACTTTAAGGATGCATTTGTAATTTAATTTTAGATCGTGGTTATCGGATCTTTATTTAATGTGCTAAGGCTCGATTTCAAAGTTTATAATCTGAAATAAGGTGTGGTTCCAATTTCAAACATTGTAAATTTCAATTTAGTTCCATACTTGCCATTGGAAGAAGGCCACCTTAGACTACTAATTTGCTGTCAGTTTAACCTCATTGTTGTATTTAAACACAAGTACGTGAATGAATTATTGATCTGCCCCGTTGTTCATTTAGGCAGCCTATCTTCAATTGCTAGTGTTAGACACTGAGTTGTTACAAAGAGTAAAAGAAATAATAATTAATAGGGGGTAAAAACCACAAATACCTCCTGAAAATACACTAAATTATATATTTGTGAAAATACATTTTATTATAGACACCTCTTGCATTTGGAATAATAATAATTATGGACATCTTATTATTATTATATATATATAGACAAATATTATGAAAATACATTTTCATAATATGTTTCATAATATATTATGAAAGTTACATTTGGAAGTTGTATTATAGACATCATATTTTATTCAATCACATACAACCTTTTCATATTTAACAAAAATATGCTGACACTTACTATTTGGTGAAGGGATCACAGACAGCCCATTAATTTAAATATAGAAAAAATTAGTTTAAGATCCCTCTCTCATTTTTAGTAATGGAAGAGATCTACGATATTATTTTATGATGTCTAAAGTCCCTCAACCCCACACCCATATATCACAGAGAAATTTGACTCTCTCTCTCTCTATGCGATCTTCATTCCAAGGCGAGTTCATTTCTCTCTCTCTCTCCAAACCAAACCCTCTCTCTCTCTCTCTCTCTCTCTCTCTCTCTCTGTGTGTGCACATTCCTCTCTTTGTCTGCTCCTTTCTCCTCTCTCGGTCGTCATCTCTAACAACACCACCACCGCTCTAACATTATCGTCCCGCCGTCGCCTCGTAAAGACTGATGCAGACAGCAGAGCAAGACTGTCACCGACAAGAACCTCAATAAGCTCAAGGCTTGCATCGAACTCGGATTCGGGTTTGATCAATTCAGTAATGGTATGTCGTCGTTGTACTCGTTATCTTATTCCAATGGATCAGTTTCTATCCATGGATTTTGGTCAAAGCATCACGACGATGTTAGCTATAATCAGCTCCAGAAGGTACTGGATTTATCTATATGTATGCATGTATGTGGTAGGGTCTATGCTTATTGTTTGTGCAGATTGGAATTGCAGTAGATCATTCTGTTGAAACATAGATAAATTTGTAAGCAAATTAGATAAATTTGAAAACACAGAGAAAATTGTTGCTGAAGATTCAATAGTGAGTAAAATCTAACTGTGTTCATGAGCTTGATTAGTGTATTTACATGCCTAAACCAGAGAAATTCTCTTATCTGACTTTTTCTTTTTGTTCAATTTTCTCTGGTTTGATCAAAAACACAAATTTTCTCTACACAATTTTTTTCTGGATAGAGCCACACAAAGCCACACAAATTTTTTCTAACACAATTTTCTCTGGATAGAGCCACACAAAGCCACACAAATTTTATCAACACAATTTTCTTTGGATTTCTTTGGTACTCAAAGAAATTTCAATTTTCTCTAGTTTGAACCCAGAGAAATTCTTTGAGAAGTCCAGAATTTCTCTGCGATTGAAATTTCTCTGGATCAATATTGAGGGATCTTAGACATTATTAAAATATTGAATGTTCTTTATGCTATAAAATCTTTAGACCAGGGACCCTAAAAAAAAATCCCTTTAAATAAATACATCCGATAATATTAATTCACTTATTTTTAAATATTTTCATATGTACACACACACACACACACACACACACACACACATATATATATATATATTACACTATTAATTCCTGTAGTTTAAATGAAATGTCACTTTAGTTCCTGTAATTTCTCAATTTGAACCTTACATTTTTAATTTCGTTGCAATGTGATCTCTCCATCACTTTATCATTAGAATTTTGAACGGAGAAAGATCATGTAGAAAACTAGAGGGGCTAAAATAGAATTCAAAATTACACCGATAGTCCCTATAGTTTTTTTTTTAATTTCACTTTGGTCCCTTTAGTTTTACGCGTGATCCTTTCCGTTCAAAATATTAACGACACATGATGGAGGGATCATATTCCAATAAGTTGAAAATGTAAGATTTAAATTGTTCAAATTGAAATTACGAAAATCAAAATGAAATTTCACTCAAATTAAAAATAAATAAAAAAAGCCAATGGTGCAATTTATCCAAAAATATTTTTAAAATATGTTGTAGTGTTTGCAATATAAAAATAAATAAATTTTAACCCTATCGTACCATGAAAGTATAATTTCAATAAATTTACGTGATCATTTAAATTAATTTATTTATGTGTATGTTATATATTCGGACATATAAATTATTTTTAAAAAACATTTGTGATGTATGTAGGACAATAATTTTAACTTTATCATGTTATAAAAATTTAATTTAAAAAGGGACAAATTATAAATACATTATCTGAAATTTACTTAAAATAGTAATTGTGTTTTGTGGTTTTACAACTTACGTTCCAAATAACTCCTATTATTAATCAATCATTAAGTCAATTTCTAATGATACAGTAATATGTTTCAATTAACAATTTTGATAATTGCATTGTTTTATAGGATAGTTAGGAATTTCTTTTTGTTTAAATGGCAAAGTCTAACAAGAAGATATTTGTAATTTTGATAATCACAGTGGGCAATATGTATTTTAAATAGACTTCAAGGATGTATTTTGATGGTACAGCAAGTTCCAGACGGAACGGGTCGGTTTGATCCACGC